AAATTAATAATTTTTTTTAGGTTGTTACACGATGGTTCTCTGTCACGGTGGGCGACTCCACATTCTCCAGATTCTTTCCTGCTGCTATTGACGCTTAAATTAGTACATTACTCTTCAAAGCGTTGGAAATTTTTGTCCTAGTTGATGGGAAAAGTTCCTCGGTTTCGCAGCACAAACTCCTCCATTATGTCAATGTTTATCGTATTTTCAGTAGTCATTTCGTGGTGGTTTCACTCATATAAATCAATACCCAACAAAGCGCTTATTTCGCTCATTTATGAGGTTTTCATCAAAGGCTACCTTGATAGCATGGCATTTTCTTCTCACTTTCAGCTCTCTAATTCCAGCCAGCTGAACTTTATATACCCCCCGTGAACTTTAATTAGCGAGTCGAAGAACAAAAGTCTTTCGTCTGAGTTAACCATAGGCTTTAAGATTATAACGTTTAACTTAGTGTTGAGTACCTGAAATTCCGCCCGTTCTCCAACTATTAGTATGAGGGAAGACCTAAAATAAATCTGTATTCTACTGTACAACTCTCAATTGATTAACTTTTCATGAATTTTTTATGAAAACATTAAAGCGTCCAAAAAGAAGGACTTGAAAAATAATATTTCCGCTGCATATTGGGCTTTGCCGGGTCTTACGGTTTTCCTTACCTTCACTCCAGCAATTTGAAAAAATAATGCGAAATCGTTGTTGAGCCGAACATGAACCCAGCTTCGACTGTATCGTGAAGTCTGCACTTGTTAATACCCTGTCGTTATTTGATTGTCTCTCCAATGGCAGATTGAGGAGAACTTTCTTAAGCATCTACTTTAATATTAAATCGCCTGAACGTATTGGAGGGTTCAAGATATCGGAACTAACCAACTACTTCATCTACATATGCCGGGAGTACTTTGATTCTACTATCCAACAGAAGCTAAGGAGAGGAGGAAACGGAGAGGTCTTTATATTCATCGTTAAAATCTAGATCTAAAACCATAAAATATTCATGAAAAAGTAAAATCTGCCTTTCATTGAATCTTAATTAAATCTTAGACATCATGGCATATATCATAACCCTTAAAATTGGGACAGTCACATAAAAGTGTACGAGTATTGTTTTAGGTGGCAAACTCTCTGAACATTTTTTGTAGCTAAGTCAAAACTTAATTAATGAGAAGCTTATCCTATGCTACGCTTATCCGAGATAAACATGCCCCACACCTTAAAAAGTTCTACTAGCATAATTTTTTTCGAATTACCCATGCCAGACAAAGCTACACTAAATTGACTCGAGACCGGGGCCCTTGTAAATGCAGCGCACAACAAAAGTAAAAAAAACTTACCTTGCAAAAAGAAATAACCGAAAAGAGAGTAAAGAACAAAGAGTACATCTTCCTACTTGTTAAGGTGGTGGCCAAACGTTTGCGCCGTCCGCTTTAGCTCAAGAATTTCGCTACTAACGACAGGTGCTTTAAAATTACCTTGCAATGGCCCACAACTACTTAATTATTAACGTCATACCGAGTTGTCAGTTAGAAATTAATGCAGTGCGCGAGATGACACGGTGTTTTAGACAGTTAAAAATAATGAGTTTTACGTATCTTATTTTGTTATTCACTCTTACTACTCTAATTGAAAAGGACACAATTGAGTGTCGCGAATCAAAAGAAGTAAAATAATAATGACAATAATAAAACTTATAAAACTGAGAATAAAGTAGATACAAAGTTCTTCAAATTTTAGGGAACGTCTAAAACGCTTTGAAAGTAAAATTTTTCGTTTATTTAGTTCGTATTTGCTGGAATTTTTAAATTATTCTCGAGAGGGCCGCCAACGACATTTTTCCGTAACATGGCTGTTCGAAAAAGTACATATTGCCTAAGGCTCCACCAAAGTTAAACATGTTTGAACTATCACATGATTATCAAACACGATGATCGTAGCTTTTCAACTCACTTCACTACGAAGTTTGTTGTTGCTGTTGAAAACAGTTAAACGATGCGTTTGTTATTTCTGATGTTTGTAACCGCAGTTTGTGTTTTATCTGCCTTTTAAAACTGAGATGGCCAACACCCAAGAAAACCTATTTTTTTAATTAAAAAGCTTTCGTGGCCCCTTACTCGCTCCGTTCTTTCCTACGCCCGTAATTTTCAAGCGCCTGCTACGCAGGCTACCTGCCACGCGTTTTAACTGACCATGCTTTCCAAATTGGAATAATCACTCCATTCGATAGCCTAGCCGTATATTCGGAATAACAGGCAGTCGGAACCCGTACACCGTAAATCTCCACTAATTTTAGAACTGAAAGCAGCTTAGCAGCCGCCATCTTTGATTTTCAAAGCAGAGGAATTGAGGGGAGAAAAGTACAAAAGGAGAGGAGTTTCGGGACGAATTAGTTTCGGCTAAGAAAAGGAAATGCTGGAGAAAGGGGAGTTACCCTACTTAAAAAATATCTTGTTTAAATTAGTTAAACTGCCAACCAGAAATTATAATCAGCCCATCATATTATTTCGTTCCTCAAAACTTTGAAAAAAAAAAAACTGTTTAAGATACTCGTGTATAAATTGATACCTGGGGTACTTACAATTCACATGGAAAAAACGTAAATTCCGGTTAGAAAATCAAATGTTTCGCGCTATTCCGTTTGGGAAGCTTCGTAAAAGATGGACTGTAGTAATTTGATTCGATCGAATTTTTCTACTCTTTTCAGTCTGTTCGGCTGATTTGGATATATTTTGAAATGGGCGTTCTACCATCAGGTAAAATTTTATAGTTTTATGTTTATGAACAAGATTTCCACGGGTGGTTTGTGTAAATGGGTTAGTGCCCCTGGTTTGCCCGAAAGTTCCCCCGGCCCCGGGCCAAATTTAATTTTCAGTACAGTCCAACGGCCAATTTTTTCCTTCACTTAGTTCATATTATTTTAAAAACTTGCAGATTCATATTAGCATGATTTTTTTTTCATTGCTGGATAGCAAGGAAATGTCTTTTAATTTTCCAGTGTTTTTTCAGTTACTCTGAGAAGGTAACGGGGAGTTTTTTTTTCTCCTGGTTCTGCGGAATCCAGAAACCGCGCATGAAATTAAAAATCTTTGGCACCCAGGGTATTGGTCAGTAATAACGCCGATGATAATCCTGCTGGACAAATATGCAAAATATTTATATAATGTTATTTATACAAATATATTGCTTTTTATTTTCGAATTTAAATAATCAAGCACCATTTGCTGCTGTCATTGGAAATCATTCTAATTACTTAATCTTCATCCTCTATATCACTCAACATGTCAATACTTTCGTCATCAAGTAGATCGAGCTCATCAGGTACATCATTCAGTTTTTCCAGACTTTCTTTTATCGTTTCATCCAAACCTGCAAGGTACCTATCCAAGTCATTACCATCACTATCCATTTCTTGTTTAATCTTGGCCACTTGTTCCTGTTCGTCGTTGACTTGATTGACAGTAGGTAGCATGGCGTCGTTAACGATGCAGTTCTCCCGCGCGCGTCGCGCAACTAGGTGCTCTTCCTCGAATTTTGCCGCGTCCACCTTCAGCCAATCCACGGCCTGTTGCTGCTCTCTCGCGGCATTAAAGGTATTTTCTTTACCACGCGCGATATTTCTTTCTTCTCCTGGGAAGAGGCTGTGTTCAATGGCAGAGGAGAGTCCACTACCTCTTGAATTCTCCATAAATCTGTTAATGTCAGAAGACACTCGATGCGAATGCGGCAGGTGCAGTGCTTCTTTGAGACTCCGCGGAGAATAGCAAAAAGAAGGGTTTGCTCTTTCGCGCACTGTCTGAGAAGGCAAAGAAAGAGTTCCACTTTCCGATTGAGGACCGTGAACTGGGTGATAATTGTAAGAAGACTTGTTGTATTGCATCCCGCTTGGATCATTCGCCGTCATGAACGTTAGCCGTCGTTTTGATGGCCTTGGTTGATAGACCCAGTTTGGATGTTCTGTTCTGTGCTTTTCTTTCAAGCGGGTAGCTTCATCAAAGTAAGGCCGCTGTTGTTCCGTGGATAACTCGTTCCAAATCTCGCCGAGCTTAACGCTGATCTCTGCGTTGTTCGCGTTCGGATAACGTTTGGCGATTGTTGAGCGGTATAGCCGCGCCCAGATCATAAATGCATTCATTGGTCGTTTGACTTTAGGTGAGCTGCTTTGTTGAAGCTGCGCTTGGAGACTGTGATACATATGAGGCATACGGAGAAAAGTTTGACTCATAGGATCGATCGCAAAGCCTTTAAACCCGCCAGAAGAAGGTGAATTCCCAGATGGTGGCGTAGAGCAGTTCGCAGTCCTTTGGATCGGTGATACAGGAGGAGCAAATTCCAGGCCTTTACTTTTGTTTTCTGGAGTAGAGAACTTGGGCGATACATTTTGCACTGTTGAATTCTTCTTCGGAGGTTTTTCAAGCGTCGGTCGTTTCTCTTCATCTCTCGGCTGCGAGGCTAATTCATTAACACACGATGCAGATTTGTCAGTAATTGAACCATTGTGATCGTTCTTTGATGTCGTCAAGTTAGGCATTGTCCAAGATGTTTTAAACAATCAACAACGTTTGTTTCGCAACAAAGAACAATGAAGCGATTCACGTTGTCTTTGTCAAAAACCGTTGGTTATATCCATGACAACGCGGTAAAACGATTACGCACTCGTGCAACGAATGCTTAGCGCGCGCAGGAGTTCATAAAGAAGACATCATTCAATGCGCGCGCACATGTTTATTTCGAACTGCGACTTGCCCAGCCAGCCAATTCATTTAACGCCAAAGCTAAAGTAATACAAGAAACGTGAGACCATTAAGAGAGGGCGAATATTTTTACTGATTTGTTGATTTATGATTTGTTGATTTACTTTCAAAAGACATTAAAACCAAGAATGTTTTTAAAAGGATGTTTTTCTGTCTTCTTGAGTTTCTATATAAATTTACGGAGATATTTGACTGTTGAATATGGACAGAGGCTATAGCAACTTAACTTAGGTAGAAAACTAGACGGATTAAAAAGTCTCTCAGTACTTTCTGAGTTTTGGTTTCTGATTTCAGTTTTCTGATTTCTGAAGGGATAAAAAATTTAAAAAAATAGGCGTGCATAAGTATCAACTGGTAAAAAATTATTTATTGATTTATTCATTCATTCACTTACTATTTTACTGTAATTGTAGGTTTTGCACATGTTTAGTCTTCTTTTTTTCATAACATAATTTCTTGGTGAGGACGTGCCGCTGGGACCCTGGAACCCTTCACCTATACCAGAGCTAGTTCAGCTGAATTTTGCTACCCTGTACTAGAGTAAACTCCCCAAATCCCCTCTACCCTAGAGTAGCTGTTTTCCAGAAACTACAGAAGTCACTAGCACAGTCTAGCCAAAACAAAACCTTATACCACAATCCCTAGTCTACATAAAATCTTCAACCAACTGATCAGTTTCCTGAAAAATAATACCCTATTCTAGACCCAAACGCTCTGATTTATATACCCTATTTTAGAGTAAACCGCTTGAAAACCATACCCTTGACAGCGGCACATACCTATACAGCCCATGTATGGCAGTATCCCCCCCCCCCCGGGTTTTATATCTTGTCTTAATTCCTTAGTATAACGCTCATGCGAATTTAGTATTATGATTGTTAAGACCACAGTGTTATTTTCTTATTTCCACTAAAATCTGATGAAAATCAGAAAATTCAGAAAATCAGGAATCAATTGCCACAAACAGGGGAACTGTTACAAGATGGCCCCGGTCTCCTGTGTTTTTAGGTCAATATTTTGTTTTTTCAGGAAAGTGTACAAAACATGTGGTTTTGTTATCAGTTAGCTTTTCTAAGATTTTCATTTATGCGTTGTAGGGACACTTGAACCCTTCTCCCGGACAGTCCAATATTCATGTCTTTCGTTTATTATTTCTACCGATGATTGCATACCCCGTTTACTGCTGGAAAACCGGTTTAAACAGGAAACATTACAATAATTTCAAAATGCATGCAAGTGAAAAGTTGTCACGTGTGTGGCTAATATGAGATAGGTGACAAAATATAGCTCAATTAGTCAGGGCAGGGCTAATTTGCAAGTCGAGTAGATATAACGTAGAGACTGAAATTTGTCGGAAGGGTAGTTGGAGCCGGAGAGCATGGAAATATCGATATTTATAGTTGCCGAAATCAACTATTGCGTTCTTTAGCATTGGGTGAATTTCTGTGGCCAGATGAGGGACAAGAAGACTACTCAAGCTCAGGAAGGCGGTGGGTTAACGAACAGTCAGTTGTCTAAAAAATATACTTCATAATATCATTCACTTTATTGCATGTTCATTTGTTTTTCATGTTATCTCGTTCATCTAAGGATTGTAAAAGTATTAGCNTTATCTTGTCTTAATTCCTTAGTATAACGCTCATGCGAATTTAGTATTATGATTGTTAAGACCACAGTGTTATTTTCTTATTTCCACTAAAATCTGATGATTTCTGAATTCGGTTTTCAGAAAATCAGGAATCAATTGCCACAAACAGGGGAACTGTTACAAGATGGCCCCGGTCTCCTGCGTTTTTAGGTCAATATTTTGTTTTTTCAGGAAAGTGTACAAAACATGTGGTTTTGTTGTCAGTTAGCTTTTCTAAGATTTTCATTTATGCGTTGTAGGGACACTTGAACCCTTCTCCCGGACAGTCCAATATTCATGTCTTTCGTTTATTATTTCTACCGATGATTGCATACCCCGTTTACAGCTGGAAAACCGGTTTAAACAGGAAACATTACAATAATTTCAAAATGCATGCAAGTGAAAAGTTGTCACGTGTGTGGCTAATATGAGATAGGTGACAAAATATAGCTCAATTAGTCAGGGTAGGGCTAATTTGCAAGTCGAGTAGATATAACGTAGAGACTGAAATTTGTCGGAAGGGTAGTTGGAGCCGGAGAGCATGGAAATATCGATATTTATAGATGCCGAAATCAACTATTGCGTTCTTTAGCATTGGGTGAATTTCTGTGGCCAGATGAGGGACAAGAAGACTACTCAGGCTCAGGAAGGCGGTGGGTTAACGAACAGTCAGTTGTCTAAAAAATATACTTCATAATATCATTCACTTTATTGCATGTTCATTTGTTTTTCATGTTATCTCGTTCATCTAAGGATTGTAAAAGTATTAGCCAAGTGTTTTATCTTTGAAAATAGTAAATTCCACAGCACGACAGCGCAAGTATTCATATAGCCTGTTGAGGGAAAATGTAATCGGCTAAAGTTGTCTAGAATGCAACAGGAAATCGGAAACCGGCGCGTGACGCGCGTAGCTATGAAAATTTAACGCTGTTGTTAATGTACTGTCCAATATAGAGTCTGGTAGAATTCATGTTTATGTGCGTGTACGACCCAAAACCCTTGAAGAATCGAAAAGGGAGGAAAGTCTTGGTGTTGATATCGACTCCGACAGATGCGAGGTAAGTCTGTTTTACGTCTATCAGGAACAAATTTCTCATTCCCGAGCAGTAAATATTGCGGAAGCCTTTTAAGTTTGCGTTATTTCACGAGTTAATTTCCGCGTCAACGTGCTAATTTCTTGATAATAGATCTCGAAGTTTCTGTTTTTTTCAACAAAGTTATCTTATAGAAAACTAATCGACGATAATGTAAGCCTCATTTACATTCCAACTAGAAAATGAAATATATAAACGTTCTGTTAAAGGACGATGTGGGATGATTTAATGATCTTCGATATTCTGTCACGCGAAGAATTTATCTTGTTTATCTTTGATCACTCTCGTTTGTTTGTACTGGCTTTATTTTCAAGTGAAAGCTCCACACAACCTATTGTCACGACTCTTCAATTTTGTTATTGTCAATATTATATAAGAGCCTAGTGAAGCATGGTACAGGCGCAGGAGTTATTGTTCTACGTTTTTATATATTGTTTTCAATCACAATAGCAATTCACTCACTACATGCGTCAAACAGTGTCCACCACAGGCCACCCACTGTTTCACTGTTTGAATTTTATAAGAGAATGATTGAATAAAAAATTTGTAATAATGTACAAATCCGCCATTAATGTATTAAAAAAGGAAATAAAATAAAACATACACACTCTCATACTTCCCAAATTCTGCCTTTTATAAACGACAAAAAAAGACATTGTATTTTACTTTGACCCTTGCACTGCCAAATTTAGCCAAAAGCAAATTTCGACCAAAATTCCAAATTTCATTTTGTGAAATATTGACAAACAAATAGCACCATGTGTAAGTACAGGCAGAGAGCTTTCATTTGAATGGTCACATCACAGGATTTCGTCCGCAGACTCAAAAGTTAAAAGTCACCTTACAAAGTCCATCACGCACTCTGGCAGTGAAAGAGTTAATTGTACGTTACAGGTTCCTTTTTGGTGAGAACAAACTTATTATAGTTATGAGCATTACATAAGCTAGGTTAGTAATCTCAAATTAATGCTTAAAGATTAGTGTCTTTTAATCAGAAATTGTTGTTTTATTTCCTTACTATACAATAATGATAGTGGCGTTTCAATGGTGTTATTCCCACGCCTAAGATTTCTCGACTTCACAATCTGTACCACTAGGGCCTGTTCCAGTATGGTGTCTTTGGTCGTCTCGCTTGTCAAATTATTCATAAATAATTGTACGTTTTCCTGATTTAAAGCGACATGAAGGAGAAAAATAATTCAACTGAGTTTATTATGAATATGACCCTGACCTTCCGCTACTCAGACAGCAGACTAAATATAAACTTGACCGGTGCAAACAAATCCCTTTCAATATAAATATATTATTATTATTATTACAAGACGAAAAACAAAATTCAAACGCGTTACACTGAGGGCTGAAATATATTTGTTTTTATTGAGGAAATTTTTTGCAGGATTTTTTGTCTTCCTTAGATAATCATAGGGAGTGAATATGGTAATAATATCGTACAACGGACTTCAAAAATGTAAACGATGTGCAAATACGTGTTTTCACACCACATCAGCTTTAGATGAAGGAGAGGGCAAGAAACTGTTTATAACACAACACTTGTCCGTACCTATTGTTTATAGCATTCTTTTGTGCACTGAAAAGCTGCAATAGTATTTATTTAGTCACATTTGTTTTGAGGTTTTTGCAGACGTTTGGGGGGAATCGTAACGTTATAAATCTAATTATACTCAGTTCTAGAAAGAACTATGACACACGTGAGCGCATTCACAACAGTCCAACAGCTAGTCCGGTACAGAAAGCTGCGTAATTTATCAATGCGTTGGGCAAACATGTAATATGTGAAAAAGAATTGACTCATACGATTACTTAAAATTTGAAAAAAGTCTTAACGTTGAACAAGTTAAAAACGACAGATGATTTAGTAGCCCTAGGTTTTTGGGTGTTTCTAAAACGAAGACCCAAAACCGAAGACCTAAGACCAATCGTCCCAAGAGAAACTGAAAACAATACTCATGCAAAATTTTTAAGAGGAAACAAATTAAGATATATTGATGGGTACGTTTGAATAAATTGAGATTAGTTAATATTAGTGCAATGTGAT